GCGGAACCGGGGATTGAACTCAGATCCTTGCGTTTGCCAGTCAAGCGCTTATCCTACTGAGCCACCTCCCCGGCCTAACTTGATATAAATTTAACCAATGGAGTAAAGATCTGTATGCTGCAAACAAGACACTGCTGAAAGAAATTGAAGCAGACATACAGAGTAGAACAATATCCACATTCACAGACTGGAGGAATTCATACTGCTAAAATGCCTGTGTAGAATAAATAAATAAATAAAATAAAAATAAAAACAAAATGCCCATGTACCCAAAAGCGACCTAACAGCAGGTTATGGCACACACCTGTAATCACAGCACTCGGGAGGCTGAGGCAGGGGGATCAACTGCACATTGGAGACCACTATGGATTACGTAGTGAGTTCGAGGGCAGCCTGAAATGAGACACCACTGGGCGTGGGGGCGCCCGCCTGCAATCCCAGCGCTTGGGAGGCTGAAGACAAGAGAATCACTATGATTTACACATTCAACACAAGCCCTAGAAGTCTAGCATCTCCCGACTCGTTCTGGAAGGCTGCAGGGAGCAGAAGGGAAGGATGCATTTGATGAAATGCCTGCTGCGCAGTTACAGAGGCAGATCCACTGGAAGCTGAGTACTTATAGGCTCAAGCACACGGGGTTGGAGGTTTGGCATCTTGTGACACTTTTTTTTTTAAATTTTATTTTATTTATGTGTGTGTGTGGTCAGCTCAGCCCACCAGGGGCAGGGCTGGCTGGCCTGTGGTGCTGGGGGATTGAACCGCGGTCCCTGGGCTTAGCAAAGCTTGTTCTAAGTAGGTGCTTTAGACCACTGAGCCATCTCACCAGCCCCATACCTGGTACTTCTTGACTATACTTCAAGTACAGATATGATTGAATAATGCGTCCTTAAGGTTTCAAAAGAAATTTTTTGGGCTGGCAAGACAGCTCAGTGGACTAAGCCCTGCTTAGGCAAGCACAGGGACCGGAGTTCAATCCCCCACACCACATGCCACACCGGCCCTGCTCCCAGGCGTGCTGAGCCAGACACTGAAACCTGGCATGGTGGCACGCAACTATAATCTAAGCGCTGGGGAGACTGCAAACAGGAGGATCAATCACTAAGTCTGAGCTGCACAGTGAGACCCTGAACCAACTACATTAAAAAAAGAATTTTTCTTTAATTTTTTATTAATTGTAATGAGAAAAAAAAGATAAAATAGCAGTGAAACAGTTTCAAAACAGGTTAGTAGGACAGTTACAACAATTAATACATTGCATATTGTTGTCTTCATAGTTGTGATTCAGAGGACAAGATGCAGACATGGTATCTTGTCTAAACAGCAGTACAAACCTTTCTTCTCATTGAACTAAGAGAAAGTAGCTGTATATCTATTCTATCTTGGATACACACACACACACACACACACACACACACA